CCATTACGCATCACACCAACTCGCGTACCCGCGCCCAAGCTATCCAAATCAATCAGCACATTCGAGCGTATGGTTTTACGATTGTGGAATATCATAGATCCACACAGAATGATCATATCATTGGCGTCCAGATCGGTGGCGTTGGCGGCGAGTTGTATGTCTTCGGGACGTGTGCCAGTCACACCGATCTCTATGTTGCCCGACCAGTGCCGCACCATTGATTCGAGCACTACTTCGAACAGTTCGCGTTGACGAAGTGGCCGATTGCTAAATACTATGGCATCATTGAATTCGGCTAGCGAGTTTGGACGTGAGGCGGTGAGACCGCCGTTGGAGATACCAGCATTTTTGCCTGCCAACGAAAGCAATGCATACACCAAATCTAAAGCTTGTATTCAGCAAATGTACTCACCATGTATGTTATGGAAGCGCAGCGGCGGCTCACTGTACAGCGTAGTATTGGAGATGGTGGAATTTCCCGTATCGGGACTGCCGCATTCTGATGTGTCTATTATGCTAGCCTGCGCCGCCTGGCCGTACAGATCGATAACACCATAGACGCGCTCCGGCACGTTTGTGGCTGCGGGGCCTTGATCAACGCCATTTACCCAGAAATGTAGCGTGCCATCGTCCTTGCGCACGACGCCCACGCGATCGCCCACTTGCAGCCGGTCAAGGTTCTGCCCATACTGCTCGATCACCGTGATACCGTTGTGCATAACGCCATTTCCCGTCATCATCCAGGTGCCTGAGCTAAAAAAAATATAAAATGTCGCTCAAAAAATTGCATCTAGAAGCACAAATTTCAGAGAAATACCTACCGCACGTTGGTCATAGTAAAAGGAAAATCAAGCTCCTCAGCGCTATGCGTTGTCACACCCATCTCTACAGAGCCCGCCCATTTAGTGACTACGCGCTCAAGTCGCACTTGGAACAATTCATTGGGACGTAAGGGGCGGCGAGTTAGCACGACGCCATTGTTAAAGTCATCGGATGCGCTGGAAATATTGGAAAATGTTAAGTTCTTTGCAAAAAAATTTCGACCATTCAAACTTACTTCGGCCGCAACGCGGTGCGTCCACTATGCGTCACCGTGGCATGTGATCCGCAAAGCGGATGGAATGTTAGTCGATCGTCATTACGCTGCGTGGCGGGCGCCGAAAGAGTTGAGTCACCCAAAACTGCCGTGGCAGCAGCCACAGCCGAATTAACTTCACCCTCAGGACTCAACAAACTCAACACAGGTGTCGGGGTGGACGAGTTAGCGGTGATAAGAGCAATTGTAGCCGTAGCATTGTTGATAGCCGTTGCCCCAGTGGTAAGACCCGAAGACGCGGTAAGTATGAGATTATTACGACGCGTTACCAAATTTTGTTGCTCGCGCTCATCACGATCCACAATCGTCACCTTTATGGTCATGCCATACAGATCAATGACACCCCAAAGCGTTTGGGCGACGCGCGTTGCTGCTACGCCCTGATCTTGCCCATTGATGTAGTAATGCAGATTTCCATTGGACTTGCGCATCATACCCACGCGATCACCTGCGGAATACATATGTATGCCTTTACAAATACGCATTTATCAAAATTGGCAAGTGTACTAACCCTCGCGCAGCTCGTCTAAATTGAATTCGCCATATTGGCGTCGTGTCCCCTTGCCATTGGTAAGTATGCCGCAACCCGACATCATTATAGTGCCGCTACGCATGTTAGTCATTGTGGCTGGGAAATGCAGCACTGACGGGTTATGTGTTGTCACACCCACCTCTATCGAGCCCGACCACTTGTCCACCAACTTGTCGATGCGTATCTCGAACAACTCGTTATCCTTGAGTGGCCGGTGTGTCATCACAACGCCATTATTGAACTCATCCAAGGGACGCCGCCGTTCAGCGCAACGGCAATTCGGTGACAGCTTGACTAGTGAGCCACAGCGTGTATGGAAGCGCAATCGATCCATATCGTAGAAGTCGCCAACACTTTGCAGCGTACCGGCGCTATTTGCAATAACAGCAGCGGCAGAAGAGGATAGTGGTAGTGCGGAATGCAGGCCAGTTTGTGAGATCGCGGAAATAGCTGCAGCGCCTGCACTGCCCAAACTGGCCAAAGCGGCGTTTATGTCAGCGTTTGTGCTGATTGTTGAAATAAGGCCACCGGCGCTATTGGCGGTAGTGCACGAGTTGTATGTTGGTGAGGCCGAAGAAACCACCGTCACGTCGACGCACATCGGTACGTCAATATTTTGCACAATTTGCTGACTCTGCTGCGTACAAGATTCGACATAGTCCTATGATAAATATTGGATTTATATTATAGTTCATGTTATAATTTTTAAATTGAGTATTTAATCACTTACCCCCGCACCGCCAACATCGGTGGGGCAGATCGATACCTGCACACAACGCCCATACAAATCAACTAACGCCCACAAAGTTTTGGGCATGTTACGCGCAGCTACGCCTTGGGGCTCACCGTTTACATAGAATACTAATTCATTGTGGGAGGTGCGCATCACGCCTACGCGATCGCGTTCGCCCAAAGTCTCCAAGTCAACTCCATAGAATTCGATAAGACAAACGCCATCTTTGCGTACATCGATTCCAGACATAACCCAAGTGCCATTGCGCATAGCTGTAGCGCAAGAAGGTAATTCCAGCTTTTCTGGCGACTCAGCCGTCACACCGATTTCAATGCTTCCGCCCCATGAGTGATTCTGCGACAATAAAGAAGTTAAGGATCAGGCTTAAGTAGTGTACATACATATGGTAGTTGGGACACCAATACCTTTTTCTCGATCACCACTTCAAAGAGCACATCGTCTATTAGCGGTTCCGCGCTAAATACAAGCGCGTGACTGAAATCTCGCACCGAACGCGCCGCTGTGCGATTGCCATTGGAAAGTGTAATGCGGCGACCACAACGTTGATGGAATGTTTGTAGTGCTTGCAAATTGACGGCATTGGCACCTGCAGAACCGCATGCCCCTGCAACGCCACTGCCAGAACCGCTAATGCTACCTCCACCGCCTGTAGCCATCTACTGCAGAATAGATCACTTGCCTCACAGAAAACTATACTCACTTTTGCAAATTTCCAATTGGGTTTCCAAAACAGAAAAGTGTATAATTCAAAATTTTTGTGGTATTCGGTGTTCTGCACCAATCGATTGCAAATCCACTAATAACTTTTTGACCCCGCCCGTTTCACACAACACCAGCAAAACAAGGCAGCTGGGTGCTAATTTCAGAAAAACAACGTAAATTATTGTAATTTTCGTTTTTATTATAATTGAAAATGTAACTTTTTTGTTTTCCCTAAATTTTCACAAGTGAAAAATTTGTCTACTTTTCTTTATCTTCTATTATTACAGGGGAACGGGGAACGCTTAAAAATCAAAATATTTACGAATGGTGAGCAGTGTAAAAAATGTCAAAATTGTTCCCATCCTGTACTTCGGGTAGTACATTCCAATGATTTCCGGTATTTTTCGGTAGATTTTTTCGATATCGATATTGTTCATCCCGATATATCGCCATATCGATTTTCTGTATTTATACCGATCAGCTGATTTTATTTGACATCATTAAGCTGAAATTAGTCGAGAACGCAGAACGTGTACTTAAACGCAGTCTGNTGGAACGCTAAAAAATCAAAATATTTACGAATGATGAGCAGTGTAAAAAATGTCAAAATAGTTCCCATCCTGTACTTCCGGTAGTACATTCCAATGATTTCCGGTATTTTTCGGTAGATTTTTTCGATATCGATATTGTTCATCCCGATATATCGGCATATCGATTTTCTGTATTTATACCGATCAGCTGATTTTATTTGACATCATTATTCAGGAACCAAAAATCGTAGTCGTTGGTTCATGATCATTATTCCGCATCCAGACATTAGGNCAGGAACCAAAAATCGTAATAAATCAAAAATCGTAGTCGTTGGTTCATGATCATTATTCCGCATCCAGACATTAGGGTGTCCGCACGAATTTGAACAATACCTTGTTCGAGGCTGGTATGAGAAAATGGAGGGGGCGTGGCATTTCGTGGCATTGAAATAAAAAATCATATAACCGTTTATATGATTATTTAATTCGTGCTTAGTCAAACCCACATTATTTTGATACACTTTATAGGTTTTCACCAAATTAAGCAAGTGGCCTGGCACTCTTGCAAAAGAGCAGATTAGCTCAAGCAACGATTGGTGAATACCACTATTCTTAACTCGTATTGAAACTTTTACCCGTGTCACCATAAATCACATTTTGAATGCAAGTTAAGTGTTTCTGAGCCGGGATTAGTAAATTTTTTGCAACTTTGTTTGAAGTAAACCATTTACACAGTTCTACAGAACGAGCGTTAATTACATTTATGCTGAGATTTATTATATAATTAAATGATGAAGCTTTTTCGTGGCTGTTTGAGTCTTTATTTATTTTTTTTAATGTTTATTAATTTCACTAGTTGTAATATATTTACAGAGTTGCATGGGAAGAACACAGTTTGAAAGTGTGTGTGTTCTTTGTGTATAAACACATGTGTATAAANGCAATAAAAAATCACATAACCGCTTGTATGATTCTTTAATTCGTGCTAAGTCAAACCCACATTATTTTGACACACTTTATAGGTTTTCACCAAATTAAGCAAGTGGCCTGGCACTCTTACAAAGGAGCAGATTAGCTCAAGCAATGACTGGTTTTGGTGAATACCACTATTCTTAACTCGTATTGAAACTTTTAAAAGTGTCACATTTTGAATGCGAGTTAAGTGTTTCTGAACTGGGATTAGTAAATTTTTTGCAACTCTGTTTGAAGAAAACCATTTACACAGTTCTACAAAACGAGCGTTAATTACATTTATGCTGAGATTTATTATATAATTAAATGATGAAGCTTTTTCGTGGCTGTTTGAGTCTTTATTTATTTTTTTTTTATGTTTATTAATTTCACTAGTTGTAATATATTTACAGAGTTGCATGGGAAGAGCACAGTTTGAAAGTGTGTGTGTTCTTTGTGTATAAACACATGTGTATAAACACTTGCATTTCAAGCGAACTACTCTGACACGAGTTTATTCGATACGGCGTTTGATGCCATACAAACAATTTAATTCATAATTTTAAGTTGTGAAGTAAAAAGCTTGTAAAAATGGAAAATACCAAGAGAAGAGATGTGTGGAGTGATCGTGAGGTTCACCAAATGCTTTCCATAATAAATGAAAAGCATGGTATTCGCCTGTTGGACAGCAAAACTAAACGAAATAAAAACATATTTGTGGATGTGGCAAATGAACTAAAAAAGAAAAATATTCTGAAGAACGATGTTCAAATTCGCAATAAATTTAAAAGCCTTAAATGCGACTTTTACAAAACACAACGAAGCAACAACATAAGTGACGCAAAGAGGCAAACATCGGAGCACTTTGAATTGCTTAATGAAATTTTTGGTCACCGTCCAGCATTGGAAGCAGAAGAAGGTATTGATGTGGCTGAGATGGATGTCAAAAATATCGACATTGAAACCATTTCGGCGGCTTTCGATGAACAATCCCAAGCCAGCGAGAAAAGCGTAATAATTGAATGCAACGCTACTGCTAAAGAAACTTCTTCCCGCAAAGAAAAAACGCGCAGTTTCAAAAAAACAAGTATGTACATAATGAGATTTATATAATTATGCATTAAAACAATAAGTAGTACGGTTTTTGTTTATTTAAGGGAAGCAAAGCTACCAAAAAGTTGTGGAGTCTTTTGCGAATGACTGGAAAAAGTCTCAGCAGGAGCTTCTCCAAACTCTGATGGAGCAAGATAAAAAATTGGCAGAGGAACAAACAAAAAATCAAGAGGAAATGATGCAAAAAAACTTAACAGCTATGGAGAAAATCTTAGAGAAAGATCGCGAGGAAACAGCAAAAATGCTTCAAGTATTTTTAAACTCAATGCAACCTGTGAACCAAGCAGAACCATATATGTTCCACATATCGGATCCAGAATCTGCCTTCATGGAGCCATCTGCGTCTAATTCACCTCATGTGGTAATTCCCAAATTGTCGCCACAGGGGTGTGATGAGACATTCCCCCCATTATGAATTCATACGATACACAATAAACCCTCTCATTCTAAAAGCATTATCGCTATGTTATTAAATCTGATAGTTATAGCCAGACAATGTTAATCACAATAAAAAGTAAATAAAAAAACAGCCATTCACAATCATCTGCAGGGGGCCTGCAAAACTTTATTTTTAAAGGTAATAGCAAAATTAATTAAAATTTTTAATATTTGTTGAAAAATTTCATCTNACAATCATCTGCAGGAGGCCTGCAAAACTTTATTTTTAAAGTTAATAGCAAAATTAATTAAAATTTTTAATATTTGTTGAAAAATTTCATCTTCGAAGAGGAAAGTTGTTTTTTAAGAAGTTCTTCAAGTTTTCACGTAAAGCCCTTGTTTTTATATTTATTTCAGGAATGCTTTCGATATGAATTGNTTCGAAGAGGAAAGTTGTTTTTTAAGAAGTTCTTCAAGTTTTCACGTAAAGCCCTTGTTTTTATATTTCTTTCAGGAATGCTTTCGATATGAATTGGAGTTTGTGGTTGTGGAAACTGAACTTCGTTCTGCACATTCGGATACCAAGAATCAAGAAAGGGCTGTTTCTCTTTTTCCACAAAGTTATGCAATATCGTACACGCCAAAACAATAAAAGGAACAAATCCTGGATCAACGTCCATTCTTCTCAAGAGACATCGCCACCGACCCTTTAATCTGACAAACCCATTTTCCCCAACTATACGCCCGGAACTGATGTAACAGTTGAATGATTCCTCTTCGGGGTCTAAACTACCAGTGTAAGGTTTCATAAGCCATGAAAGCAGTGGATATGCAGGATTTCCAATTAACATGAAGGGTGTTTGCATTCCATTGACGTCAGAAGCGTAATTTGGAATGAGCTGCGATGAATAATTGAACAATCCCGAGTTTTTGAAAACGTCTTCGTCATGGGTGCCTCCTGGGCTTTTTACACTCACATCTCGGAATCTAACAAATTAAACGGTCATTAAAATGTTTCTAATTACTGTTCTCAACTTACAAGTAGTTATTATCTACTACTGCTTGCATAACTATTGACGACCATCCCTTTGTGTTTACATAATCTTGATACCCATCATTCGGTGGCAGAATCGGAATATGTGTTCCTAAAAAAAGATTTTGTAGTACTGACCTTTTTAAAAATTAACGGTTTTACGATCTATTGAACCCACAATATTGGGTAAATTAGTCAATTTTTCAAAAGCTGAAGCAATATTTTTCGCCTCCTCCAATGCTGGGAAATATAAGAACTCTCTTCGAAGCTGCAGTATTGCTTTAACAACAAGATGAAAGTATTTATGCACTGTGCTTTTATGCACTCCAAATACATCTCCTACAACACGGTACTCGGCGCATGTTGCCAATTTATATAAACATAGGCGACTTGCTTCGGAATTGGCAAGGGTGGTGTCACAAATACCGCCGGACAAGGAAGATAAGGAGCCAACTTCTCACAAAGCAATTGGAAAGAGTTTTTATCCATGCGGTACGATTCATAATAATATTGTGCGTTTCCTTCTTGCTCCAGAAACCACATCGAATTATCATGACGCTCTCTTCGATGTACGCTGCGAAATCTGGGAACATTTATTTGAAAGAATATTTCGGGCAGAGCAGTCTGTAATGCCAAAATGTGTCTTGTTGAATTTTTGCCACTCCTTAAATTATGATAAATTTGTTGTTGATGGATTAAAAATTGCTGGCAAACAAGCATCCTTTTTCTTCTCAGTCGATTAACTAAATGATAACACAACGCTTTAAGTTCCTTACTTTCTTTATTCATTTTTAACAATTATTTGTCCACATAAGTGCCTGTAAATTTTTCGACACGCTTTATATGCAATACACCTCTTGTTTATGTATAAACACACTGACACGAGCTTATTCGATACCAACCCTGCAGCAATTCAGACTCACCCTAGGTTAGCCCTCAGATAGGTCCTATTGTTACCAGCACTAGTCCCTCACAATTCCCCTGCCAATGGTTTCAACTGCCATTTTTAGCATTANTTATTCATTTTTAACAATTATTTGTCCACATAAGTGCCTGTAAATTTTTCGACACGCTTTGTATGCAATACACCTCTTGTCTATGTATAAACACCTGACACGAGTTTATTCGATACCAACCCTGCAGCAATTCAGACTCACCCTAGGTTAGCCCTCAGATAGTCCCTATTGTTACCAGCACTAGTCCCTCACAATTCCCCTGCCAATGGTTTCAACTGCCATTTTTAGCGTGTCATTAGAAAAGGACCGGTCCAATCAACACTGAGCGTAAGATACTACTGGACTAGTCCAATTTTGGAGATTTTTTTCGTTGGAGTAAGATTGCGTTCTACACTTCGCAGATGCTTTTTCATAATTCGGAAACACAAAAAAAAATAAATTTTATAACCATGTTGCTTCGACGGCGTTTGAACCCACACCCTCCTGAAAGCTAACAAATAGTGGCAAGTACCTCTGCACACTGAGCTACAGCTACGCATGTGAATGTGTGTTCAAATGTTCACTTTGTATCAAGGCTACACCAAGCGATTGGGACATTTACAGGGTGGTGTTCTTTAATTTTTTTTATTGAAAGGCAAGACAACACCACCCTGTCACTGCCAAACTGTACTTTTCGTCTATCTCTAGGCCGGATCCTTGGGGACTGGTCGAAGGTTAACATTTTCGATGCAAGCAAATGTCCAATTCTGACTAGTCAAACTTAAGCAGTGAAGTACTAGTCCTTTACGGAAAATTGGCCGCCTTATTGCTGCAGGGAAGATTCAATAATTATTAGGGGTCTGCATCTAAAGTGATAAAGATAAATCGCTTAAATTTATCAGTTCCTTCATGAGCGCATTTTGGTAAATAATTGCAAAAAATTGTTTATTATTTAACTTATGTGGCAAGTTACGTTTCATTATTATCGTCCATTTTGCTAATTTGCTTTTTATGTGTTCGTAGCAAAATCGACCACCTGGCAGTCTATCAGCGTTGAGTTTTGCTGAAATTTATAATTTATATTTGATAAAGCGATAAACTTTAGTTAAATAGTTTTTACCGCTAATTTATCAAAATGATAAACATCGTTTTATTAAGTTTATCAACAGTTTATCACTTTTGATGAAGACCCCTATTGAGTCATGTTTCGATGCCGTGTTTAGTCAAGAATGATAGAATACAAGATTCAAAAGCTGATATTTGTTCATAATTATAACAAAATATCTGGTTCTTACGTTCGCTATCACAAAAATCTTGGAAGTAAAGTAACAATAGTTGCGTTTTTTTACTCATTTCCAGTAAAATCCAGTAAAAGTTTTTACGAATTTTCATGTTTTGGCGTTTTCGTACGCAAAAACTTGCAAAGTAGGGGAAATTGAGAGAGCGAAAAATGACAGCTGAAGTTGCAAGTTTTTACTGGATTTTACTGGATAAATTTTTACTTGTAAGAATTTGCCAGTACGAAAAACAGCTGATCGCATGTTGCTGGATGAAATTTAAACTAATAAGGAAACTGTTTGTGGATTTTTATTGTGGACATTTTCAAAACAAACATATTTAAATATAAAATATATCGTTTTATTGGGAATATGCTGCGAATAAACAACCAATTTATCAGCTGTTCATGAAACTTGCAAATTATTACTGGAAAAGCGTTCGCGTACTTTTTTGCAATTTTTTCTGTGAGAGCGAATTCTTAGAAATAAAGTTACTGGAGAGTTACTGGCAAGTTACTGGATAATTTGTAAAAAAACACAACTAATTTATTAGCGAGTAAAACAGCTGATCAATTTCATCTCTTTTCAATTTATAGAAATAAAGAAGTTGTCCTCAATGTTTATTGAGTTCAAAATAACTTAATAGGGCTATCCTCACGTTTGCTCAGAAAATTGATGTGGGTTTACATTAGTTCTGATCCCGTATTCCTCGGACTAAATGTAGTAAAACTGCCAATAAATTAAATTCACTGAGAGTGAGAGAGTAGGTTTGGACACGTACGAGATCGTAACTATTTATTTCGTATTCCGTTATTATATTTTCAGTCTCATGTTTTTGAATGTTATTAAAATAAAACGGAGTTCACTTGAACTTCCTATGGGAACTAGGACTAAGCAAGATGTTGTAAGAAGAAAGAGATCACAAAATATCTCTTGGTTGCAGTGCATACCTCCTCCTATCTCTATCTCTTCTGAATGTTATTAAAATGCTGATAAGATGTTCCTAAATCTTGCAAGTTTTACAAATTTTTCGTTCGCATACATTTTTGGATGTTTTTCTAATTGAGAAAAAATTATTGGTTCCTCGCAATTAGCTGTTGGATAATTAGCACTGTAAATATTACCGAACAGACTAAGGTATATCGCTAAGCAGGGTTGCCACTGCTGAAAAATAATTACCATCCACTTGAAAAAACTCTTACAAATCTGGAAAATATCTATAGATATTTTGGTATACCAATATCTTTTTTTAGTTATTTTAATAAAAACTACAGCTTTGTTCTATTTTTTAGTTATTTCAATAAAAAGAAAGGTTTTTATTATGGACTTTTTAATTAACTTAAGACATGGGCCCATAGTCATAGTCATACGTTAAAACTTATTCTTGTTAAAATAAAGTTTTAAGTTTAGAATAGATTTTTAAGTAGTGTCAATCATAGAAACAGCTTTTTGTTAAGATGAGAGAGAACAGAGCTATCGGCAATATAAAGAAATATGAGTACCCTAATTAGTTCATCCTGTGTCCGCTGCAGGATTGAGGATTTAGCATTCCGGGAAGTCGTAGGTTCGAATTCCACTGCCAGGAAACATTTTTTTTTTATATCTTTTTTTGTTCTTTTAAATATTATATTATTTTTTAAATTAAAGTTGAACTCCAAAAAAATGTATTAACTTGAAGTAATAATGTGAAATACCATAAACAAAAGGAGATAGTAGAATAAAATTTAATAAAATAAATTAAAATAATGCTTAAAAAAATAAAAAATAATAAAATTAAAAAAAAAATATTGTTTGGAATTGCTAGGATTGAGGACCGAACCTGGGTGCTATTGCGTTTACCACTTCAACAACAAAACAAAACTTAAGGACCTTATTTTACCATTTTAAAATCGCGTTCTCATTTTAAATTTTTTGCCATAAAATGCAGCTAAAATGGTCAATGTTTTTCAAGTAATTTTTTTTTTTTTGTATAAAAATCAATCATTGAAGCGGTCTACATTTAGAAAAACGCCAAAAATTTACGTCTAAATTCCAAACTTTTTATTCTGAGTTTTTAGGACAATTTTGGGTATGCATTTTTAAAACCCATGGAATTTAAAAACAAAAATCCTGTTGATTTTTAAACAATTTTTTGCCGCTGATTTTTTGTGATTTTTTTCATTTAGCAATTGCCATTTATAAAAACTGGCGTTGATTTTTTGTTTTTTTTGCAAACAATCGTAGTGTGTAGCTACATACCTGTCCATTCGTTTTTTCTTATTATTTAAAGAATCATTTAAAATAGTTAGGCAATCATAAGCGCAGGATTTTAGTAAAATGAGTTTTGAATGGAGCACGATACGTTCGCTCATACATATCGTTACCTTAATTCACAAATTCCCTAACCAACACTTTTTTCGAAACAGCGTTTTTCAGATTTTGGTTGGATGTATTAAAATAGTAACTTTTTAAACTTTTTTTTGCTTCTCCTGTAAAATAAAATCTGTATACAAAAAGTGTGCATTTAAGCGTTCGGAAATTGATGCATTAAAATAGACTACAAAAGTTTTATTTCTTTTTCAAAGCAAGTACTTAAACAAAAATCTACCAAAGTGAATAAAAATTTACTTTTTTACCAAAATATTTTTTTTTTCTATCAATTTTGGTAATAATTTACTTAAGTGGCAACCCTGTCGCTAAGTAAGCTGATTGCTCCATTTTTTAATGCAATTTATAAAATAAATATAAATATTACCACATATTTTCATATGAATTACAGAAAACGCATCTTCCATAGCTATGCTGGCTTTTAGAACGGTCATAATCAAAAATAAGTAAAAGAACATTGTGCAAGCGGTTTCTTATATAATTTTACGATTTATTTTAATATATATATATTTTTTTAGAGCGTACATAAGTATGTATTTCTTATAGTATACTTATGTTCATCCGTATTTTATTTTATCTGCAACTGTCCTCATCTACATCTTTTTAATATTACAAATTTGCGTTACAACTTCATATTAGGTTCTTGCTTTTGTTTTTTTTTTTAGTTTTTATTTATATGGATAGGAATTCTAATGAAAAGTTATTATAAAAGGTCATATATGGATTGAGAAAGATGTCAATACATATTGGCGTAAATTTGCATCGCATTTTAGTTTATAATATTACAATATTTTTATCTTTTAGTTTATAGCAACTCATTTTATTTATGTACTATGTATTTCTTCTGTCTATGACATATTTTCCTTCACAACAGTATTTATACTCCCAAGCGTGGCCGTTATGCCTCAACTTCTATGAATTAAAGGTTCTTAGTCGTTCGCTATAGTTGTGTAATTTTTTACATAATTGATAAGGTTTTGAGATTTGAGTACATGCATTAAGACTGGCTTGAATTTACCATTCAACGCAACCATATATTTTTGTGTCTTTAACTTGTATTGTTTTTGTTGTAACTAGGTATGTATGTATGTAAGTTAGATTTAATAGTAAAATTATTTAAACCTCTTAATTGCGTCAATTTTTTATTTGTATATCAGCTTTAAAATACCGAAATAGTAATTTGTATGCTTCACTGAATGTATCTTGTATGTAGGGAATTCGTCGGAATATTTTTTTTTTATGTATGTTACTGCATAATTTTGAACCACGTTAACCGATTTCTATAATTTTTTAAAAGAAAGCCGATCATTGGATCATG